ACTGTGAAATGAAATAAAGATTTTTGACGTAGGGCAGTAGTAAACGTATATAGGAAGTCTATATCAGATCATGCATTCAGTCAGTTTCAAAGCATTAAACTATACAGACACCCAAAATATACTCTTTCCACAGATGTGTTCGGGGTTTAGGTCCTGCTTTTGTGCATCCTTACTGATCTTACGCTATAAAATAAACATAGTATTTAGATTAATTTAGTTTGTTATTTTGGGATTCTTCACTTTAATTTGTATGCTCTATTGTTTTAAAGGACCATCGAACTACTTCGGTTCCTCTCTTTTGGAACATAATTTTTTTTCATTTCAAAATTCGGGTTAGGCCCTTACCAGTTGGATATCCCCTATTTAAGAGACCTTATCTCTTTCTTCTCCTTTTTTTTCACTAGTTCCAATGTAAAATAACTGACTTTGACCAAATGGCCTGAAACTCTTAATTGATAGTTCATTTCTTTGATACGTTAATGGCCATTAGCCTTCAAGAAAACCCTTGTGTTCCAGTATCATATCAAAAAGAAACATTCCTACTTACCCACAGATGAATAATTAAAGGGACTCTCCAGGCAAACAATTTTACTCACCTGGTTCCAGCGCCGGAAGCCTCGTGAAGCCGCGCCCCCTATTTCTTTAAAATGACGAAATAGGCAGGCGCGAGCAGGGAGCAATCACATGCTTCCATTTGGAAGCGTCATTGCTCCCATTGATGCCGCCCTCTGAAGTCCTGAGCGCACTACCGCGGAGGAGCTAGAACCAAAAGTTTCCATTGGATTGATGTTGGTCTGGAACACAAGGGGGTGGTCACTTATTGTTTTTATAGGTACGCCTTATCTCCATCTCTGGGCCAGGCTTGGTAATCCACAGGCTATTTATCCGCCTATTTTGAAATGACTTTTGTACTTGCTTAGGGCCAAAATATAATTTTGAGTGAATCACCATCTTCCTTACTAGAGACCCCCTGGGCAGGTTTTTTATTTGAAAACTTGAGTAAGTGATTAGGACTTCTGTTTTAAATATCTTTATTGGTATCATGTCAGAGGCTTGGTTTACAATTGTACTTTACCATAACATTTAGTCGCCTTCGCAGAGGCGTGTTTCTCATTGCATCAAACATAACATTTAGTTGCCTGCACAGAGGCGGTTTGATCATATCATTTGCAGCTTTATCATCTGACATATTTAGCGTGTTGTGTGTGGTTTTGCCTGTGTGTGTGTGTTGTTCGGTGATTGTGGTGCGCATTCTGGGACATGTTATGGGTCTCGTCGCGTGTTGCAGCGCTTCGTGACGCATCTATGGGGGGGTCAGCCCTCGTTGATTGCGTTTGAATCGTTCTTAAGGCTGTGTGTGTTTGATCATTGTATGGATGTGTGGTGTGAGTATTTGTTGCGTTTTGGGTGTCTGGGTTGCTGTCTCTTATTTGGCGTTTTTCCCGCACATCCCCGTTGTGGCCCCTGCCCTCTTGTCTTATTGTATTGCTTGTTGTCATTTTTTTTGCGGGGTCTGCTGGAGTATAGTGGGTGGCACGGTGTCTGAAATGTCAAGTGGTTTCACATCCTTGCATTGTCACTGTGTAGTTCCTCGGGTCGGGGTGTTTCCATTACTTCAGTCTTGCATTTATTTTAAGTTTCTAACAGTTGTGTTAGTGTGTGTGTCTGTTTTTGTTTTTTGTTTATTGTTTGGGAGGTGGGCCATTGTAGCGCCTCGTACTTCATGTGATCGTGTCGGATGTTTGGGGGGTGTTTATGTTGTGCCGTCGTGTCTTGTTCGGTTCGTACTTGTCCGCTTTAGTCTCTCGGATTGTTCCCTGGTGTCTGTGTTGTGTGGGGTTGGTTATGTCATGCGGGTATCGTCTTAGCGGGTGGTTGCGGTTGTGTTATTATTCTCTTCGTCCGGTAGTGTGGCCTTCTCTTGTGTCTGTGGTAATGGGGGGGGGTAACTGGGGGGGTTGAGGGTTGGTGGTCAGTTATCTTGTCCCCTGTCGCCGCCCCGGTCCGCCCAGCCCTCCCGAACACCCGCCTGGGTCTGTCTTTCGTTCGTTCATCTCGGGAGAGTTTGGTGTGAGGCGGCGTTGGAAGGGGTCTGATGTGGTGTGGCGTAGCCAGTGGAACCAGCGTTGTGTGTAGCGGTCCCTTTGCCTCAGGGTGTTTGCTTTCATGTCTTCAAATTTCTGAGTCGCTTCCACTTCTTCCACCCAGCGTCTCAGTGGGGGTGTGGTGGTCTGCTTCCAGTAGATGGGGATGGTCGCCTTGGCCGCGTTGAGTAGTCTGGGGATAATGGATCTGATATATGCCTGCGTTTGCAGGGTTGTTTTGTGTAGAAGGAAGGCGACTGGGGTCTCTGGCAATAGCTCGTCTGTCTATATCGTGTATAGTATTCCTGATCGTCTCCCAGTATGGGCGGATCTTGGGGCATGTCCACCAGAGATATGTGTGAACGTTCCCACTGCCTCCTCGCACCTCCAGCAGGTGTCTGTTATCTCTGGGTTTCTGGCGTGGAGCGTTGATGGTGTCATGTACCTGGTGAAGATTTTGTATGAGTTTTCCTGTAAGCGCACTGAGCCCGGTGTTTTCTGTATCAAGGTGATGAGTGTGTCCCATTCTGCCTCCATCATGGGTTCGTCTAGGTCTTCCTCCCACTGTCTGATGCCAGTAGATATCTGCTTGTAATTAGAACTGAGTAGATCTGTGATATAGCTCGTGGCAGTTCCTTGTCTTGCGTACAGAGGAATTCAAATGATGTTGGTTCTCTCAGGAGGGATGGTTTCTGAGGGATAGATCAGGCGTATTGTGCCATTTGTGCTCTCTGGAGTGTGTGCATGAAGGTGAGTGGGTGGTCCGGGAATAATTCGTTCAGTGGCCGGCTTGTGTCATATTGGGTTCGGGGCTGGGCCCATGTCTCCTGCCGGGAAGTATGGGTTGCCTCTCAAGGGGAGAAGTGGGCCTGGGTCCATCATCAGGTATTGTTTCGTGCCCTGTCTTTACCAGACTTGCATGGTAGCCGCCACGAATGGGTTGGTGATGTGTTTGTATGTTGTTTTAGGAATCCATGGTAGTGTTCTGAGGTCGCAGTTGGTCGTGTCCGATTCTAGTTGGGTCCATGGTTTCGTGTCGCTGGCCACCGTCCAGCTGATGATTCTCGTGAGGTGTGCCACGTGGTAGTACTTTTCAAAGTCTGGCAGCACCAGTCCCCCACAGAGTTTGGGAAGGATCAGTTGGGTGTGTGCTACCCGGGGAGATCTGCCCTTCCATATAAATCTGCGGACTTCCGTTTTCAGTGCCTTGAAGAACGATTGTAGGGCTAGTATTGGGACTGTTTGAAATCTGAATAGCAATTTGGGGAGCAGTGTCGTTTTGACCACGTTCACCCTTCCTAGCCATGATATGTAGTAGGAGTTCCATTTGTGCAGTTCCTCCGTTGCCTTTTTCAGTATTGGGAGGTAGTTGTGCGTTTATAGGTCTGCTGGGTTGGGTGTAAGCCAGACCCCTAGGTATCTCATTCAGTGGTCGCACCAACGGTATGGGTGTCTCTGGATCGTTTTTCTAAATGCATGGTTGATGTTCAGGTTCAGGATCTCCGACTTTGAGTGATTGATTTGGAGGTTCGAAAGTGGGCCATATAGTTCGAATTCTATCTGTATGGCCCGGAGGGAGGTCTCTGGGTTCATAACCACGAACAAAAGGTCAACTGCGTTTGCCAAGATTTTATGGTGCGAGTTTCCGATCCTCATTCCTTTTATGTCTGTATTCCGTCGGATCTTGTTGATGAAGGGCTCCAGTGTCAATGCAAACAGCAAGTTGGCAGCCTTGCCTGGTTTCGTTGTGGATCTGAAACGGATCCAATAATACGCCATTGATCCTGATCCGTGCTGTTGGGTTTGTGTATAGCGCTGTCACCCAGAAGAGGTATTTTGCCCCTACACCGAATTGTCTGAGAGTTTAGAACATCAGTTCCCAGTCCACTCTGTCGAACGCTTTTTCCGCGTCCGTTGACAGGAGTAGTACTGGTGTCCTTTGTGTTTTGGCATGGGCTATGATGTTCAGGGCTCTGATGGTGTTGTCCCTCACATCCCTGCCTGGGATGAATCATGTTTGGTCTGGGTGGATTGATGCAGGTAGTAGCGGCGCCAGTCGGGTCGCGAGGATACTCGCCAGGAGGTCCGTGTTTAGCAAGGATATCGGGCGGTAGCTAGGGCACAGTGTTGGGTCTTTCCCCTCCTTCGGGAGTAGGGTGATGTTGGCCGAAGTGAATTGGGCCATTGGTATGGCCCCATCTCGGATGGAATTAAGTGCCATTAGGAGTTTCAGTGTCATGTCTTGTGTGAACGTCTTGTAATACTGGAGGGGAAGGCCGTCTGGTCCTGGTGCTCTGCCTGTTTTTGCTCTCTTGATGGCGTACGCTATCTCCTCCGGTGTTATGGGTGCCTCTTGGTCTATGTCACCTATTTCTGGCACATTCGCAGCGTCCAGGTAGTCCCGGATGTTTTCAATTATGTTAGTCTGTGGAGCTCCCGAGGCTTCTCAACGGAGGTTATATAGGTTCTGGTAGTAGGTTCGGAACGCTGTGGATATTTGGTCTGGCTGGTGTCTGAGTTGCTGCCATGTGTCTTTGATTTTTGGGATGTAGAGTTGGGTTTTGCATTGTTTGAGGAGGTTTGCTAGCAGTCTCCCGCATTTGTCTCCGTGTTCATGTATCATGTGTTTGTAGTGTTGGTATGAGCGTTGTATCAAGTGGTTGAGGTGTGTGGTGAGCTGATCCCGTTTGGTTACTAGGTCCCTATATGTTGTTGCATCCAGGGTGTGTTTATGTCTTGCCTCCATGGTTGCTATGCTGAGGTCGAGGATCGCTTGTATTGCTGTCTTCTTGCGGGATGCGCTGATTGCTATGATTTGGCCTCAGATCACTGTTTTGTGTGCCTCCCAGCAGGTCAGTAGTGTCACGTCGTCCGTTTCATTTTCCTCAAAGTATGATTTTTTCTACCACTGTCGTGTCAGATAAAAGCGATTCGTTCAGCCGCCACGACATTTGTCTGGGTATGAACAGCGGTGACTTCATCCGTATGCGGATCGGGCAATGGTCTGACCAGGTCATTGGTAGAATCTCTGCGGTGGTGAGCACCGTCAGGCTTTGATGTGGTGTGAGGAAGTAGTCGAGCCTTGTGTATGTTGAGTGGGTCATTGAGTAGAAGGTGTAATTGCGAGCCGTTGGGTGCAGCGCCCGCCAGCAGTCCGCTAATGGGTGGCGGTGAAGGAGGCGCAGTGTGTTCGAGTATCTGTTGTGAGGATGAGGAATCTTGGTCTGGGTGTAGTGCCAGGTTCAGGTCTCCTCCAATTATTAGGGTGCCTTCCGTGAACTTCATCAGGGTATTTAGTACGCGTCCAAGGAATTGGTGTTGTTTTGTGTTCGGGGCATACACGTTGGTGAATGTGAATGTTTGGTCCAGAATTGTGCCTTTGGTGAATATGTACCTACCTTGGTTGCATCTAATGGTAGCATACTCTGTGTAGGGGATGTGTCTGGAGAAAAGAATGCCTACTCCCTGTGTGCGTCTGTCGGGGTTGTTGCTGAAGTATCCCATTTGGAAGTTGCGGTCTTTCAGGGCCGGTGCACTGCCCTCTTGAAAGTGGGTTTCCTGCAGGAAGGCTACCGACGCCTTGTAGTGTTTCAGGTCTCGCAGGAGTCTTGTCTGTTTCTCCCTGATGTTCAATCCATGTACGTTGTACGAGACTATGCTTAGGTCCTCCCACGCGAATCCGTTCGGCCCCGGGGCAGGCATCCCACGGGCAGCCAGGGGGGATTATTGGGTAGAAGGGTGGTGGGGGATGCTGAGCTTGTAGGTGTCTGTGTGGGATGGGTTATGTGGTTGTGTTCATGTGTGAATTCTGTTTCAGTACTGTGTGTGTTTACACTGCCTTAGGGGCTACAGTGTCCGTATGGGGTAATGGACAGTTATCCCATTGGTATGACTGTTCGTCCGGCCTGTTGGAGGGTCAGAGTAGACTCTGGGGAGTGTGTGTCCCCTTTCTAGAAGGGGGTCGTGTTTCCTGGTCCTGTGGGGGTGTCAGGCTGTGTGTCCAAGCTGGCTCTGCTTGCTGCTGCCGAGTCTGTGTGGATGTTAGAGTTTGTGGTTGGTGTTGGGCTTAGTGTGTGGTCTCCCGTCTCTTTGGTGGCTGTGTGATCAGTGCGTCCGCTCATTCTCTCGTTGCGGTACGTGCGTGGGTCGTCAGATGTATTTTGTGCGTGTTGGTGCTGTAGCTTAGTAGCCTTGGGGTTCTCTAGTGTGGTGGCCATCCTGTCTGCCTATTTGTGGGTGCGGCTCAACTGGGGGGGGGCACATTTTATGGGCCTTGTGGTTTTAAGGGGTTTGGTTGTGTGCCTTGGTGGTTTGGTCGGACTGTGCAGTCCGGTGGGGTCTTGGGGTAGCTGGTCAAGCGGGTCGGTTTCGGGGGTACCATGTTATCTTCTGTTAAGTGTCTCTAATTCTGGTGCTTTGTGGTCTGGGGTCATGGTGAGGTGGTTCAGCTGCGGTATCCCAATGTGTCTTTTTACCTTATCGTACAGTGGACCTGTGTCTCGTGCGTGGGTGAGCGCTGGCCTATGGGTTTGGATGGTGCCGAGTCTGGGTGTGTTGAGACGCAATGTGCATTGCATGTTCAATATTACATACTGTAGTTATAACGGACATAGCAGGTATTAGTTAAATCCCCCAGCTAGCTTTCCATTTTGTATGTTCTCACTTCTCTACATATGTTCGTGCTGCCTGTGGCTCTTCATCCCGTCTCGGCCTTCCCTAATCGAGCTATCTTGGAGCACCCTGGGGTGGGCATATAGATAGTTGTGTTCCCCCCCCCCTTTTCTTTTCCCCCCTCCCTTCCCCCTCTCTCTCTTCTTCCTCCCACCCCCGACTTTCCGCCCCCCCTTCTCCCTCCACTCCTTTCCCTTCTCCTTCACCTTGTATTCTTGTCATTCACGACCTCCTCCCTTTACTCGCTAAACTTTCCTTTATCTTCCTTGCCTACCTTGTGTGTTTTGTCGCCTGTTCTCTCACTCACATCACTCTTAACTTGTGCCCTTCCCTCCCTTTCTTTCCCTTCTCTTGTGTGGCATTGCTATGAGTGTAGTTTTGTAGCCATGCAGATTGCTGTCATTGTGCCGTGCAAAGTTGTAGCGCTTGGGCGTTGTGAGCGTGTTCGCATACAATCTTGCTGGCCTCCTGTTCTGGCCTGTTTCCCTCCCCAATTGTCCCGATCCCCCTCTTCTGGTAATTGTTCCCTTTTGTTGCGTGGGGAATAATACGTTAGTCTCCTCAGTCCCCCGGTTAATCCTCCTCCCCAAACCTTCGCGCTTAGTGGTTGTACTTGTGTATGTACCATTAGTTGTTACTCACAGTTCGGTATGGTCTCGTTGTGGCTCAAGGGCCCCCCCCCAGGCTGTGTGGTGGTCTTGGTTTGTGGCCTCCATTTCCGGTTGCGGCAATCGTGTGCGGGCCGTGGAGTGAAGTTAGGATCTGATTGTGTGGTCCCCCCGGGGCCCGCGGGTCTCGGGGTTCCTCCTGTGTCGGTTGGCTTCTTTGTGCGGCCCATTTACTGTATGCGGGCGAGTTGGATTAGCAGGTTGCTGGCGTTTTTTGTGTGGACACCACTAGGAGCTCCGGGTTCATACGTTCATTTTGGTCGGCTGCCGTTCACGCCCCCCTTGATTAGGACCGGGAGCCCACACACTAAGAGGGCCCGGTCAGGCACTTTGGCCCTTTAACATAGCGACCGGGCTCCCTTGTTTTACGGCAGCAGGCTGGGAGGAAGTGACTGCCATGAGTCACTTCCTCCCAGATAGAGTGAAGCCGCGCGGGATGGAGGAAAAGGCCGTCAGGAGGGAGCTGTCAGAGCCTCACACTCCCAACTACCTCAGCCTGCCACTGGACCCCAGGGAACCACCCTCCTAAACCCATAAGGTAGGGCTAGAGGGTGGCTTTATAAATGTAAACTTTACATGTGTGTCAGTATTTGTGTGAGTCAGTATGTCTGTGTGTGTCTTAGAATGTGTGTGTGTCAGTATGTCTCTGTGTCAGTATGTCTGTCAGTGTGTCAGTATGTCTATCAGGTTTTCTGTGTGTATCAGTATGTCTGTCAGGGTGTCTGTGTGTGTCACTATGTCTTTGTGTGTGTCAGTAGGTCTCTGTGTGTGTCAGTATGTCTGTCAGGGCGTATGTGTGCGTGTCTGTTTGTCCATCTGTGCATGTCAGTGTGTGTGTCAGTATGTCTGTCAGTACGTATGTGTGTGTGTCTTAGTATGTCTGTGTGTATGTGTGTGAGTAGGTCTGTCAGGGTGTCTGTGTGTGTACCAGTATGTCTGTCAGTGTGTGTCACTATGTCAGTTTGTATCTCTATGTTGTCAGTATGTATATCTGTGTGTGTGTCAGTGTGTATATCTGTCCATCTGTATTTAGTATATCTATGTTTCTCTATGTGTATCTGTATCTGCATGTGTGTCAGGTTGTGTATCTGCGTGTTTGTACACTACTCAGTGTGTGTATCTGTATGTTGTCATTGAATGTATTTGTGTATCTGTTTGTTGTCAGTGTGTGTATATCTGTGTGTGCATCTGTATATAGTCAGTGTTTTATCTGTGTATCTGCATGTGTGTCAGTATATGCATCAGTGTGTCTGACTATCCTTATGTGTCAGTGTTTGTATATATGTCTCTGTATGTGTGTCAGTCTGTATCTGTGTGTCTGTATGTGTTAGTGTGTGTATCTGTGTCAGTCTGTATCTGCATGTGTGTTAGTGTGAGTGTCGGTGTTTATGTCTATATATCTGCATGTGTTTCAGTGTGTGTGTGTGTGTATCTGTGTGTGTGTATGGCAGTGTATGTGTACATGTGCATACATCTCATCATTCAAATCGTCAACACTACACACAAGTACACCCCTGCATTCAACCTTCAACACTATATACAAACACAGTCCTGCATGGAAATGTCAACAATACAAACACACCTTTGTATTAAACACCAAAAATATATATAAACACACACCAGCATTCAAAAAAACAAAACAAAAAACTACACATAGATGCATGCTTGCATACAAACACCAACACCACATACAAACACACCCCTACATTTACACAAACATACTCCATACAAAAACATGCTTCCATTCAAACACACAAACACAGCTCAGTGCTAAAAACAACCCTGCAAGCATGGAAAAATGGTTTTGCTACTGCTTTGGGAAGTGGAGAGCGTGATTGCATGTCAGGGAGTGGGGGTCAGGAGGCCCCATCATATGCTTGCCCAGGGCCCAATCAATAATAAAGATGGCCCTGACCCTTTCACCACTACAACTACGCCACATACACTCTTGGGGGTAGAGTGTGTTCATGACAGTGGCTTTTTCTAATGGCTCTCAAGATAAAGAATTTCATGCTGTTACTGCTGGTAGTGTATTCGTTATCTGTGTAGACTAGAGACGTTTGCTGCATTATACTAGGTGCACCAGTATATGGTTAGAGTGATTTTATTTAGGGTGGATTTAAATTAATATTTTAAATACTAAATATGGACTTTGGTATGTCTGGTCACCTCTGAGTGACCTTCTTCGAAGAGATATCGCATGCTTCCCACCTGTCCCAATTTAGACGGGACAGTCCCAATTTTCGTGCTCTATCCCCCTGTGTTAGCTGTCTGGCCTGCTTTTAACTGCCTCAAAACATCAGTCTGTGTTTAAAAGCAAGTTTGCCTGGAGCCATGCTCAGTGCTGCTATCAGGTTACAGCCTGTGCACACCCTCTCTCTCTCTCTCTGCTCTGGACACTGCACATGGGAGGGAGGGGGATGAGTGATGACATCACTGCTCTGTGTGAGTACGGAGTGCAGCAGGGCTCAACAAGGAAGGAGACTGGACGCAGTCTGCTCAGGAGACAGGGGGTAAGTAGCAGCCTGGGTTTAAGGTACTTGATCACTACAGTTATCTACTATTCTGTGTACAAGAGTTTTTCAGTTATGTACACCTATTATATTGTGGCTTAGGATCCTGTGTGTGGGCTGCAAAGGAAGGTTAAGCACAGAGTAGCCCACATTTTAATGCCCAGTAACAAATATACTATAGTGTTCACACATTATGTTTCCCTCTTTCACACACTGTCATCACATACTGGCAGAATGGCTACAATTAAAGGTCATCTTATCTGCAGGCAACAGGATAATTAAAGGGACTCCCCACTGCACAAATACAAAATAAATAAAATCACTGTTACATTTAATTAAGCATTTTTTTTCATTGGAGTTATATCTAAAAACACATCTCTTATCTGCTGCCTTTACAAGCCCTCCTCCTCTAACCCCGCCCAGACTCTCTGTGACTGTCCAATCACAGATTCCTCTCAGTGCAGCTCAATGAGAAGTCTCTGCAAGGCAGGTGCTCTGGACATTTGTTTGCCTCTTGAGTTCAGTGTAAATTTTATGGCAAGACAGGAGGTGAATATTTGCTTTTCTCCCAGCAGCAAAGAAATAGTTAACAACCAATCAGTACACATCTAGTCAGTGATATATGGCCATGAGACTCCTCCCAATTCCTCTTTCTTTGCTGCTTGCCTCCCAGGTGAGTCAATTCTGATTACACAGGCCTTTTTACCGAGTGTTTTATAAATATTTATCTACATTTTATTCATTACTTTTTCATAGATTGTATAAGTCTCCTTTTATTATATTTAGATTTTGCCTTTGGTAATATTTGATTAACTTCTCTTTGGTTTTTCTACTCCTGGGGCCAACCTTTGTTGGCCACAGGATCTCTGCCCCTCATTTGCGGCACTCAGTATCTCACTGAGGGTTTATTTTCCCCTCATCTACCACCCCATTGGCTCCTCTGCCGACCGCGATCTACCGCGGCTTTGTTTATCTTTTTTCTCCGCTGGTATTACAGTCGCGACCTGTCAGCGTCTCTCTTCCATTTTTCCCGCGCTTTTCTTTGACGCGGGCGGTCTCCGCCTCCAAATTAGCCGGCGGCCATTTTAGTGTGCGCCAGTTTAACTTGACGGTTAACTCCTGTCACAGTTCCCCTTACTGCTGCCCAGTTTGACAGTTACATTAATTTCTTCTATCACTGTTTTTTTTTTTGCAAACCAGCTCCAAGGTATACATTATTATTTTCCTTTATGCTCTAAAAGATTACTCAAAACCCACTCTGTTTTACCTCATGACAGGTTCACTCAACTGGCATTATAAGTGCCTTTCCTGCAATCAGCCAGCCTTATTTAAACCAAACATTATATCTGCCACATGGGTGAACACCTTGATTATAACAGGTGACCCCTGTTTTTTGCTACAGCGGTACTTTGATCTCCGTTGTTTAGCTCATAGCTTTCCAACACCTAAGGGTTTTTCCAACACCTTTTGTACCTAATTATCCAAGTTGGTGACCCCCACCTTTCTCTGCATTTTGGGTAACCCTTATTTGCCTGTATGGGTGACCCCCCAAACTTAAATATGTGTGACTTCCTTTATATTCATAGGTGACCCCCTCTCGTTAGCAGGGTGACCCACTGCCACGTTATCACAGGGTGACCCCCTATTTTTCTAATGAATTTAGTTTATTTGGTTTATTTTTGTCAAACTTGTTCATTTTGCAACACAGCACAATGTCTGAACAACCAGACTTCGCTGTTTCAGCTGAACTGAAATCCTGGCTATTTTCGGCAATAGCAGAATCCATGCCTAAAGCTATTGCAGCTTATCACGAACAGGCTAAACCTGTTTCCAAGCCAAATGTTGCCTTATATATTTACGACTCGGACGGGTCTAACAATGATTCCAACCATGATAGGCTCCGCGCAAGCGTCCCTGGAAGGGAAACAGTGCCTCCGCCGGTAAAGGTAAGGCACCAGCTAAAAACCCTAGTGTCTCTTCCCCCCTTGAAGGCCAACGGCCTATTGTTTGGGGATCAGTTCGTGCGGGATCTCAACAGACATGTATCTGTGTTCACCTCGTTGAACAAGGCTCAGTTTCGCTGTAACCGTTTTTCTGGCAGAGCCGGTTGCCATAGAGGCCGAGCTACCGGCAGGTCTGCCTTCAGCAGCTACAGGCCTCGACCAAGTGAACCTTGGAACTCAGGCTATGCCCGTCCCTATCACAGACAACTGTTTACCAACAGAGGATCGATCAGAGGACGTGGCTCTGCTCAAGTGAATGCCTACCTTATTCTCTAGTACATATTGCAGGCCATTTAATTGTTTTTTCCCACAGTGGTCTTTTCTCACTCAGGATCCTTGGATCCTTCAGACTGTCACAGGGATTTCACCACCGACCCTATACAAGAATTCCTCCCCCTCTACGGATGTCCCAGCCAGACACCGCTACTCTACATGCAGAATTCTGCAAGCTCAAAAAAAAGGGCGCAATCAAACCCTCCTCATCCCCCTTCAGATTTGTCAGCAACATCTTTCTGGTATGGAAAAAGTCAAATGACTTTCACCCCATCATCAATCTGAGAGGTTTTAAATCAATTCATTGTGTACCGGCACTTCAAAATGGAGGGCATACACCTACTCCAGGATCTACTTTGCGAGGGAGATTGGTTCTCCCGTTTCGATCTCAGGGATGCCTACCTTACAGTACTGGTTGCACTCTGTCACCACCCTTTCCTTCAATTCATATGGCTTCAAGAGCTTTGGCAGTTTACTTGCCTCCCTTTTGGTCTCTTGTCCGCCCCTTGGTACTTCACCAAGTTAAGGAAGCCAGTTATGGCCCTTCTCCGGTCCCGAGGTATCCGGTCCATCGTCTATCTAGACGACATATTAATCATGGCATAGGACCCCCATACCCTTCGGAAACATACGTCTATGACCAAATGTCTCTTACAAAACCTCGGCTTTGTGATCAGTTTCGAAAAATCTTCTCTAATACTCTCACAGTCCATCCTTTTGCTGGGTTTCCAGACCGACTCCGTTCGGTCGATCCTTCAACTCCCGATGGCAAAGACAAAGGCCATCAAGAAGGACATTCGAAAGCTACTGTCCTCTCATCATGTACTCCTTCACGACTTCGCGCGGATAATAGGGCTCCTGTCCGCTTCCATTCAGGCCATTTTCCCCTGGCCCCTTACATTACAGAGCGATGCAACGTCTCAAGACGAGTTATCTGTGCAGATCCCATTCCTACGATCAACTGGTCTTCCTTACAGAAGAGGTCCGTCTGGAGTTAGATTGGTGGCTCCAAAATATGGAAGCCACCAAAATTTGAAAGCTATTTTCGGACGCCAACCAGATTTCATGCCAGCCTCCTAGGCTGGGGAGCCACCTGCCCCGGCCTTTCTACAGGGGAGGGTGGGGGTCTCTGGACACAGTCAGAACGTTCAATTTCCCATCAATTGCTTGGAGCTGATGGGGGGCGCCTTTATGATTCGCAGTTTCGCCAAGGACGTTTACGACTGTTCGTTGATTCTTGGAATGGACTGTTTCCGCTGTCCGTTATGTCAATCGTCTTGGAGGCTCCCACTCCAAGCTCCTATCAGACCTTACCAAGGAACTCTACCAGTTCTGTCTAGGGAGGAATATCTCCCTTCGAGCGGAATACCTTCCCGTGTTGGACAACCTTGTGGCGGACTGGTTCCCCCATCACTGGAGGGACACCAGCGATTGGCAGCTGGACTCGAGTGTCTTCTACCACCTACACCACCTTCGCGGGCCCATCATGTTGAACCTCTTTGCGTCCAGACTAAACAGTCAGACAGACGCTTTCTTCAGTTGGTTACCGGACCCGTTGGCACAAGCCGTCGACACCTTTCTACAACCTTGGCCGTCGACAGGAGCATATTCATTTCTATCTTTCTCCATGATACCTCGCACTCTCCAACGCCTCAAGGTTCTGGGAGTCAGGATCCTGTTAATAACTCCTCTCTGGAGAGTCCAACCTTGGTACCCCAACCTCTTAGAGATGTCCACAGACTACCCCCTGCTTCTGCCTCTTCCCCGGACCTCCCCCGAGACCCTTCTGGAGTGTGCCATCCCCTTGCCATCCAGGGACATCTCCAACTGGTGGCCTGGACCATTTTAGGGTATCCCGGGATCCTTTCAGGCTCGGCTCGAAAACCTCTTCTGGGATTCATGGGCCCCAGGAACCCGCAGATCCTACCTTTCAGCATGGAAATCCTGGGTTCGCTGGTGTTTGGAAAGGGATATTGAACCCTTTTCAATGACTCTGGTGAATATCATGAATTTCCTGTCCTCTCTTTTTGACAGTTGCAAATGTTATTGTACAATAAACCTTTTTTGCTCTGCCATTTCGGCAGCTCATTGTCCAATTGATACAGTCCCTGTCAGACAACATCCATCCGTGTGCAGGCTCCTACAAGGTGTCCGTTTCTCTCGACCTCCGGCTCACCGTTACACCCATTTTTGGGATGTGGCACAAGTCTTATCCTTTCTGGAAGCTTGGCCTCTGAACTATCTCTGCGGCATCTCTCTGCCAAATTAGCCCTACTACTTTGCTTGGTCTCTATTCGGTGGGTTTCCAACATCAAAGCGTTCGACCTTCATGCTATTGCCTTTACTCCTGTGGGAGTAAGGTTTTTTTTTTTTTATTTTTTTATTGTCCGACTCACTAAGGTCCCATCATCCTCTGTTTTTACCCATACTTCCCTGATAGACCATCACTGTATGTTGCGCGTTGTTTACAACAGTATGTCACCTTTACCACTCCCCTTCGGGCCCCATCGGTGCCGCTTTTTGTGTCCTATGTCCGTTCCCACCATCCAGTGCCTTGCCCCATGATTGCTTGGTGGATCTGGTGGCTCCTCCGCCTCGTGGCATGGAGCCCCCCTTTGGCACCCATTCGGTACGGGGTGCGGACGCGTCCGTCGCTGGGAGTTCCCTTTCGGACATTTTGGCCTCGGCGGATTGGTCAAGGGAATCCACCTTCCGTACTTTTTTATTTCTGGCCCCAGTCTCATCTGGGCTTCCACTTGCTCTATGGGCGTTAAAACAGCAAATATGAAGCCTCCTGTCTTGTCTAAAATTAGAGATTATTTTAGCATCAGTGACCTAATAATCTAAATTTTATTAAAGACAGGAGGCAAATATTTCCCCACCCTACGTCCGCTCGGATGTTGGTTTGTTCATAGGTTCCATAACATTCGTATAAATATGTGTATCACACTACAAGTGATTATGTATATGTGTATGACACCACAAGTTATTGTCATCAGTTTAGTTAATACAAGGCATTTGTATATGGGCAAGCTGCCAATCACACCATACTTTCACAAATTTTCTTCTTTTTCTAGTGTGAAATAGTCTTCACTCTCTTCACGGCGTCCTTATTGGTGGATCTGTGGTCCCAACTACGAGTTCGATTACCTTGTTGATCACGTTTATTTGAAGATTGTTCGTTCCAGTGTACATGGTTGATATCACTCCGGCTGCATCAAAAAAGAGGAATTGGGAGGAGTCCCACGGCCAAATATCACTGACTAGATCTGTTCTGATTGGTTGTTTTTTTCCAATCTGTTAGCTATTTCTTTGCTGCTGGGTGGAACAGTAAAGGAAGTAAAGCAAATATTCACCTCCTGTCTGTAATAAAATTTAGATTATTAGGTCACTGACGCTAGAATAATCTCTAATTAGCTTACCAAACCAGGAAGTAACATTACCTGTTGTCTGCTTGAAAGTCAGAGGGTGTAACCAGTGTAATTTATAAAGGTGTCAATTTCTATTGAAATCTGCACTTTTTGCAAAATGAAAAAAGAAGACACTCTTCATACATAAACCTTTTCACCAAGCTAATGTGCTTTAGAGGTCTGGACTATTCATTAGATATACTCCTCCAAAAACATGCATTTTCTTCTGCATGCTTCTTTTAGGAGAATATGAATAAATAGCTTTTCCAGGCAGCTCAGCCCTTTTCCAACTATGTGAGTCTCAAGTGATGTCATTAAAGCAGCACTGTCATGCTGAACTTACCTTTCTTTAATCAATTACTCTTCTCTCCCTCTGTCAGGATCTGTTCTTCATTTCTTCCTGTCTGCACGAGTTTTCTTTAAAACGTAAAACAAAGTAGGAACTAGTTGTCTTATGGAGGTTTCCTACCCCTGACCATCTCTGCCCAGCGGAGGAGCAAAGTGTGCTTCATTTCTGGTGGTCAGAGAAATTTTACCCACAATTCTCAATTTCCTTCGTGTTCCCGTGAAGCCTCTTTTCACTTTTCCCGAATATCTTGTCATCTAGACAGAACGCCGGCAAAACTACCGAATTGCGTCATAACAGAATGAGAACAGTTTCTTCATTCATGTTAGGACGCAATTCGGGACTTTGTTCGGATTGGAATTTAATTTGAATGATTGAAACTCCGATCCTATTCATGCCCCGTGCCATCTTGCAGCCACTTAGTAGATAAATCCCTAATTCCCACGGTATTAGGGTGCTATTTCAGCCAAATTTACTAATACCAAGTAAAGATGACTTAGTATTAGTAAATTCTGCACCTACTCGCTATACCGCGAGTATGGGCATGGCTATTTTTTTTTACAGGTACTTAGTTTTTTTATTCCCCCCTCACTATTTTTAGGGTGAGGGGGGTAGGTAGGGGTTTATTAATTTTTGTTTTGGGTGAAGGGGTGACTAGAGGCTTGGACAATAGGTTCCCCCCACATTGTTATTTAGCCGCTCAGGGGTGTGGGTCGGGGGGAGACGCTAGGTCCCCCCTTCAGTTTAATAGCCCCCACTCGCACGGCTTTAGTGGGGGCTCGGGAGGGGGGATACTTTTTTTTTTTTGTTTGGTTTTTTTTAAACAGTGAGCGTGAGCAGCCACAGCTATACACATAAGAAACTTCCTTTAAAAATTCAAATAAAAGTGTCAGCGCTTAAATGAATCAACCCTTAATTACACAGTCAGGGTAATCCACATGTAAATTGTGAAGTAGAAAAGCAGCATATGCACCTTTAACTTTCGTAATAAAATAAACGACTTAAATAGAATTAGCAGCATATATAACACAGCATGTACTACTTCACTACATAAACCATACAGTATATTGTTCAAGAGTCCTGGGGTGGTCTGTAGGGGGGGGTGATGTTCTTGTAAAAATTGGATCCACACTCTTTTGATGCAATGCTTGCAAAAGTGTCCACAGTACCTTCAAAAAGATACAAGAAGATCCAAATAGTGTAACACTATTATTATGAATAAAAAAAACCTCTCCCCCAAAAAGAACCCTTACATTAAAATGTTGTGGTACTCGTTTCCAAGAAACCACACAATAAGCATCGGTGTACAGTAGTTTTGAAACTTTACCGCCTGGTCCTCCTGTCATGCGGATTCTGGCTGGATATGTAAGCCGAGGAGCGATGACTTTATCCTGGAAGGACGCCGGTGCTGGAAGCCGCTACTTTCCTGCCAAGCTTTGAAAATGTAATGCAGCTCGCACTTCAACGCGTTTTACCCATACTTGCGGGCTTCCTCAAGATAGTGCGGCAGCCACCTATATAGAGCGCTCTTATATACGCTCATGTTCATCAGTCATTAAAGTGCCAAAATGCCTAAAATGTCCCACGTGGTCTTTCCATTAAAGGCACTCCCCTTTTCTTTAAATATTCAAGAGGAGCTGCACTTCACATAATTTAAAACAACTTATTAACAATATACGGTGCAATCAGTACAATCGCAATTTACCGTTAAAACATATTTGATCACTGTAGATAGAATTAACTATGAATCAGCATTCAGTTAAAAAATAAATATTAAAAATAAATACCCATCCGTAATCCATTAAAGAACCCCTCAAATTGAAAATAATAAACCAGAAACATCATGAACAACTCAAATAGGAAGATATAAAAAGATGTAAAAAGTAATATATAATAAAAAATAGGAAAAAGCAGGAAATGATCCAGGTTATTTTATAATTCGTATAATTCGTATAATATAATAAGTTATTTTGTTTATATAAAAATTCCTATTATACAAATAAGATAAAAAAAAATTACAAATAAGAAAACAATTACCAACAAAGTAGTCTTAATATGAATTAGTCTATATATGATAAAATGGAACTATGGAACTCACCACAAGTTTAAAAACGTAATACTCATAACCTATTATATTAGTTTAGTAAAATGTTAGTTCGAATTTAGCATTCAAACCAAATGGTGCGAAAGTTTTTAATCTGTAAATCCACGACATTTCCTGATATGTCAACTTCTTACCTAATTCACAGAATATTAACCTTTTCAATACCACAATAACGTAGACATGCTGGTTTATTTGCATGGTGATCCAGAAAATGTTTTGATAAAAAATGTTTTTCAAACTTCCTCTTACTATTTTATACATGTTCATTAAGTCTTACTCTAATCATTATTTTCGTTTGTCCTACATACTGTATTCCGCAGAAGCAGCTTACTAGATAAATCATTTGTTTTGAATGACAAGTCATACAATCTTTTAGTTCAAAAGTTATTTTCGTCACAAAAGATTGAAAACTTGTGGTTTTGCAACATGGGGGACCTGTTACCTTGCATATGTTACAATTACCACATTTAAAAAACCCTTTCTCTGAGTTAAAAAAATGTCTCTTAGGTTTCGGTTGCCGGTAACTATGTACCAATTTATCCTTAATGGTGGATGTACTCCTACAGGCCCGAGCTGACCATCGGGAACACCAGGCTAATGATTGGTGGGCCATGATGGCCATGGGCCGAGGCCGGCAGGGGAGTTTACAGGATCTCCCCGGCCGGTCCATGCAGGGCCTGTGCTATCCAAGCGCCAGCCCTGCAGTAGTCCATGACAGGCCAGTGGGGAGATCAAAGATCTCAATCACCGGCCTACTTGCACAGACATGTGGATGGGGAGGGAGGGAGAGAGGACCCAGCGCAGCCTATCTTGCAGCTCCTCCGGGTTCCTCTCGCGAGATCTGGAGCATTGCCATGGCTAGAGTTCACTCGCCTCAAGGACCACCAGAGATGGCAGCAGCATGGTCCTCCCACCCAGGTAAGGAGGGAGGGGGGATACAATGCCACACATCACCCTCTCACACACACAGCACCCTCTCACACACACAGCACCCTCTCACACACACATACTGCACCCCTCACACATACACACTACACTCCTCTCACACACCCACTGCAACCTTCACTCACACACACTGCACCCCTTATACATACACCCAGAACCCTCCCACACAGTGCACCACTCACACACACACAATACTTTCAAACATATATAATATATATATATATACACACACACTACAGCACCACTCACACAAACACTGCACCCCTCACACACATACTGTCCTATCCAAAATATTTACCTTTTTAACTGAATTCTCAAGAAGGTTTAAAGGACCACTATAGGCACCCAGACCACTTCAACTTAATGAAGTAGTCTGGGTGCCTGGTCCAGCTATGGGTAACCCTTTTTTCTATAAACATAGCAGTTTCAGAAAAACTGCTATGTTTATAAATGGGTTAATCTAGCCTCTTGTGGCTGTCTCATTGACCGCCGCTAGAGGCTTCCGCGTTTCTCACTGTGATTTTCACAGTGAGAAGACGCCAGCATCCATAGGAAAACATTGAGAATGCGCATTCAGCCGAACCCCTTCCTCCCTCCTCAGCGCCACGGTAGTGGGACCCTGAGGGTGGGGGCACCCTCAGGGCACTATAGTGCCAGGAAAATGAGTATGTTTTCATGGCACTATAGTGGTCCTTTAACTCGTACTCCTTTTCAACAAACAGTTTTTTTTACTTTTTCCAATTGTTCACATATTTGAGGGTCAGTACAGTTCTTTTTGATCCTTTGGAATTGTCCATACGGTACATTAGTGAGCCACTGAGGATAGTGGCAACTGGATCTGAAAATAAAGCTGTTTACATCTAAAAGTTTTGTATTTTAACCCCTTAAGGACCACAGACGTACTAAGTACATCCAACAAAAACGTCATCGTAAGTGTATTTTTTCATTAATATATACATATATTAATATAAAAACGCTCTTAGAGTAAAATTACACACGTGTATATATACAATAACTATAAATTGTGTGTATATATATATATATATATATATTATTATAAAAAATTTAAATAATATTATTTTTTTTAAAACGATATATATGTAATTTTATTTGAAAGCAGCACTGTCATGGCCAAATCCCGTTTTTTGTTTTTTTTTTAACCCGACTCCACTACATCTAATTGATCCCCTAGCGACCCCCAAATGCCCCTAAGTTCCCCATATTACCTATTTTTTCATCTTTATTTTGTGCCGGGATCTAGGTTCTGGGCGCCACCATCTTTGTGTGGGTAGATGAAGTCCCTGTGGGACACGTCATCTGCCCACAATAGATAGTGCTGTGAAATTCCCGCACATGCCCAGTTAAACACCTGGGCATGCGAACGGGAATTTTATCTATTCATTCATTCGTCAGAAAGATGAATGAATGAATAGAAATGTCAGACGAACAAACAAACACTGAATATCAGTGTTGGTTTGTTCGTTGAGTTTATTACAAGGATGGAGCTACCGGCGTGCAGCTCCCTCCTTGTAAAATGTAAAGATAGAAGCGGCAGGGAGCAGTTCTCCCCGCCACTTTTAAAGCCCCCCAGGTCCTCCCTCACTCTATGGGGGTCAATTTGAGCCGAATTGCAGGGCGGGGCAAGGCTTTATAAGCCTTTCCCCGTCCTGCTGAGCCTTTCCCTGCCCAGTCTGCGTCGTGCCCTCGCCGGGTGAAGATGGATAAATTTTTAGCATCGGGTTTTCGTTTGATTTTTTTTTTTTTTTTTGCGCTCTGTTTTTTTATTCTATTTTTTACAAGTATTATGGTTTCTATTTGGCCTTTTTTGGGGCTGAAAAATGAAGATTTTAGAAAAAATACATTAATGGTAAGTTTTATATTTTTTTTTACAGGTAGTTAGTTCTTTTATTCCCCTCTCACTATTTTTAGGGTGAAGGGGGTAGGCAGGGGATTATTTTTTATTTGGGTGGGGGGTGACTAGGGGATAAAGGGACCCCTAGTCACCTTGGAAGGGAGGGGCCATTTTTATTTAGGGCCCCCATCCGCCGCTCAGGAGTGGGGGCCGGACAATAGGTTCCCCCCCATTTTCCTTTATGGCCCCCAACCCACCGCTCAGGGGTGGGGGCCGGGGGCCGGGGGGAGGACAATAGGTCCCTTCCCTCATTATCCTTTATGGCTCCCACCCACCGCTCAGGGGTGGGTGTCAGGGGGAGGACAATAGGTCCCCCCCATCCCTTAGGGCCACACCCGCTGCTCAGGGGTGGGGGCTGGGAGGGATACTAAGGTTTTTTTTTTTGTTATTTACAGTAAGCAGCCACAGGGATTATCTTTTATTTGGGTGGGGGGGTGACTAGGGGCTTAGGGACCCCTAGTCACCTTGGAAGGGGGGTTGGGCATTTTTATTTAGGGCCCCCACCCGCCACTCAGGGGTGGGGGCCGGACAATAGGTCCCCCCCCCATTTTCCTTTATGGCCCCCAACCCACTGCTCAGGAGTGGGGCCGGGGGGAGGACAATAGGTCCCCCCCCATTATCCTTTATGGCCCCCACCCACAGGCTGCTCACTGTTTAGTAGACATGCCCCTACTTGCGGTAAAGCGAGTAGAGGCAGCATTTACTAATACTAAGTAATCTTTACTTAGTATTAGTAAATGTAGCTGAAAGACCAGTTTAGGTCTTTCAGCCTTTTGGTAGACAGTGTCACGTATTCATCCGCACATAAAAATGTGATTAATGGAATTTACTGTTCTGACAGGAAAAGTTGTGCCGAGCAGCAATCAATCCACAGGAGGGTTTGTGCTGAGCAGCAATCATGTAAATAGGAACTTGGTAACTGCCTTTGGGGTCAAAGGCCGGTTACAACCAATCGGATCCACAGGCGGGGTATTTAGGCCCAGTTCTCCTTTTGCTCAGTGCCCTGTTGTGGTTTTCCTTGTGGTTGTCCGAGAGCGCATTATTTATTCTGGTTATTTGACTTTGGCATTGATTTTGATTTCCCTGTTTTCTGACATCTCTGACCCCTGGCTTTTCGTTATCGTTGTGTCTCTTTCTGTGTCCCTTGACCTTGGCTATTCCTGACTATTCTTTGGTACGTTAGTCCGGCCATTCTAAGGTCTAGTATATGTTACCTATCAGTCCTCTGTGTTACACAATTCTACGTGCTGGATCATACTGTAATCCTGACAGATAGCTCCCTAATACCTTGGGAATTAGGGAGTTATCTACTAAGCTGCTGCAAGATGCAGCCGCGACACGAATAAGATCGGAGTTTCATTCATTAGTCTCCCGAGTATAACTGTAACCCCCCCCCCTGCCCCCCATGTACAGGTTTTATAGTGTTTTTTAAAGTTACAGGGTCAAATATAAGGCTTGATTTTCTGTTTTTTCACATTGAAATTTGTCAGATTGGCTATGTTGCCTTTGAGAGTGTATGGTAGAGAATTACCCCCATAATGGCATACCATTTGCAAAAGAAGACAACCCAAGGTATTGCAAATGGGGTATGTTCAGTCTTTTTTAGTAGCCACTTAGTCACAAACACTGGCCAAAGTCAGCGTTCATAATTATTTTTTTTCATTTCTAACACACAAACAAATATAAATACTAACTTTGGCCAGTGTTTGTGACTAAGGGCTACTAAAAAAGACTGGACATACCCTATAAGTGTCTGCTTTAAAAAAATAAAAATAAATATGTACATGTGAGGTGTGATTCAGAGATTTATGACAGGTAACAGTGTTACAATTTTACTATTGATAAAGTTTAAAAATATATATTTTGAAACAGCAATGTCCTACTTCTATTAATAGCCCTATAACTTGCAAAAAAAAAGCTAACAATATGTTACATTGGGTATTTATAAACTCAGGACAAAATTTAGAAACTATTTAGCATGGGTGTTTTTGGGGGGTAGTAGATGCGTAACAGATTTTGGGAGTCAAAGTTAGAAAAAGTGTTTTTAAAAATATTTTCATCATATTTTATAATTTTTTTATAGTATAGTATATTATTTGATGAAAATAATGGTATCTTTAGAAAGACCATTTAATGGTGAGAAAAACTGTTTATAATATGTGTGGGTACAGTAAATGAGTAAGAGGAAAAGTACAGCTAAACACAAACATCGCAGAAATGTAAAAACAGCCCTGGTCCTTAACGTTAAGAAGATTGAAAAACGGTCTGGTCATGAATGGGTTAAAATATTCTCCTCCACATATAAAACCAGATCTAAAAACAATACTAGTTTCACTATGTTGTGATGTAAAGGATAAATTAAAACGGTTATCATTCATATATTGTAGAAATTTGGACAATTCATTTTCCTCCCCCTTCCAGATAAAAAAACAATCATCAATATAAATATAACGTCTATAGAGAAATAGGTTCGCCACCCATGGATGTCCCTTCCATATGAAGGAATTTTCCCAGTGGGACATGAATATGTTCTCATAGCTGGTTGCGAACCTAGTCCCCATAGCTGTACCAGTAATCTGTAAAAAGACTTACTCCTTATACCAGAAAAAAAATTAGTAAGAATAAAATTAATACATTCTGTCAGAAATTCAACTTGTTCCATATGTATATCAGGATCTGTATACAGAATTTGTCTGATTGCTCTTAATCCCAAATCATGTTGGATTACTGTATATAGTGACATAACGTCACAAGTCACCAGCCAGTAATTGTCTTTCCAAGTCATCCCTTCTACTAATCTTAGTAGGTCACTACTATCTCTCCGATAAGATTTCGAGCATTTTACAAACGGTTGCAATAATGCATCTATATATTGAGATAGATTTCAGGTTTAAGATCCAATCCCTGAGATAATAGATCTCCCTGTGGATTCTGTTAGATTCGTATGGAGAAAATAAAATACTGGGATACATGGTCAATACAAAACCATATTCTTTTTTGTTAAAACTCCTAATATTCTTCCTTTATCCAACAGGGTAGTTAAAATATTGTTATCTGAGGTAGGATCTTTATTAAGTGACAAATAAGTGCTCTTATCCTATTGGATTCTGAGGCATTCTTTTTCATAATACTCTATACCAGGCTTCCCCAAACTTCGGCCCTCCAGATGTTGCTGAATTACAACTCTCATGATTCTAAGCCTGTCTATTTTACTCTCAAAATCATGGGAGTTGTAGTTCAGCAACATCTGGAGGGCCGGAGTTTGGGAAAGCTTGCTCTATACTCATAACAACAGTTCCCCCGCTTTATTGGCGTGTTTGATAACTATATTTTTTTATTATTGCTTAATTCACATAATGCCTTCTTTTCCTGTATAGTTACGTTCTGACATCTATTTGAAATTTTAGTAGGAGTCTTTTCCAGATCATTTAAAACCGCTAAATTAAAAGCATTCATTTTGGCGCTGCTTTGATTAGGAGGTTAGAAATTGGACTTCTTTTTCAATGATGTATGTTTAAAAGGATCCTCATGATTACTATTCTTAAGTTCAAATGGGTTATTCATAAAAAAAAAAAAAATAATAATTAAATTTAGTGTTCTCATGAATTTCTAAAAAATTCAAAAAGGGATCAGTCTTACCAGCAGGGGCATATTTAAAACCTTTATTGAGGACTCTTAATTTGTTCAGGAGTTAAAGTAATGTTAAAAATCCCCAGTGGTTTTACCATTTGATTCTTTTTTTCTTTACTGGATTCCTCTACCTTCTCTACATCCCCTCTGAATGATCATTGGTAAATGGTGAATTAAAAAATTGTGTGTTGGTCCTAAAAAAATCATTCTCAACTTCTAAATTAACCCAAACTTTTGATTGTTTAGGTGTTAAATCCTCATTTGGATTTAATACAGCAAACTTATTAGATGTTTGCCATACTGGGGCATGGGTTCTTTGTCTAGGGGTTGGAATTCTATTCTTAATTTGTGGTGTATTTTTACTTTTTCTGTTAGCCATAGTCCATGCCCTTTCTTTAGGTGTTCTGGGTGGATTAAATTGATTGCATTGCATATACTTTCTTGGATAATTATAGGTATTATTCCTACCACGGGTTTCAATATATCTGTTTTCTCGATTAATTCCACTATTCCTGTTAGGTATATATGGTTCTGGTTTTTTTTTTATTTTCATATGTAACAGGAGCAACTATCTCTGTCCCCTGTAATTCAGCCTGCCGCTGGGGAATGGAGACTGGGCTCCCAATTCCATGCATATCACACTGCCGCTGGGGAATGGAGACTGGGCTCCCTATTCCCTGCAGTACCTGTCGCTGGAGTTTCTCCCAACATGCCAGCTGACCTTCCCTTTCTGCACGGTATTGCAGATTCTTGAACACTAGGTTCCTCATAAGCTGCACCGATTTCTCCGGTGGATTGGGTCCGTAGTACTTCAGCCGCAATCCTATTGTCAAACTCTTTCATGGAGTAACTGTACGCCACTGCTGGTTCCATCCTGGTGCTGTCAGGGCCGCTGTACTGGGACATGCGGTGCCCTCAAATTGTAAAATCCATGGAATGGTGTCTCCTGTAGCTGTCCTTCTGGTGGTAGGAACGATCCCACTGCTACCACCAATTGTAACGGCACCCCCAGGCATAAAAGGGTTAAACCGCCGTTTAGAAGATCTTCCCCTTCCAGAGATACAGGCACAGCTACTGCAGAACACCAAACTCCCAAACCGCATGTAAGGGAATGCTCCAAACTCCCGAACTGCATACAAAATAGCACTCCAAACTCCCGAACTGGAACCTCACGAATAGCTGCTAGCAGACGAATAGGAAAAGTACCCAAGCGGCTTACACTCCTATCAGTCTCTATCAGCATACAGTAAATCCCCCCAAGAACGAGACAGAGCTCCGTGTTGAGGGTCAAGCTGTGATCTGTTTTTAATGAGGGCTACCTGCCCAGTATTTATGCAGGTCTCCCACCTGGTGGACACTCCCCTAGGGGACCAAATGGGAGACTGTGACAAAGGACAGACATGAACCAATGACAGACACAGAGAGGTAAAACCTCACCACAATGCATCCTAACTTCCCTCCCTCTGTCCTGGAGATAATTGGGAAGTAATCCAATTATCTCCCAGGACAGAGGCAAAACTCCATTAACCACATGGTTACAGTAAAACACTAAAACACAATAAAATACACAATATTACATTTATCACACAAAATATATACTTGCAACCCATCCCCAGATAGCTGGGATCTGAGTGCACAAAAGTACCGAATAGCGCTCAGATCCTATGCACACAGTCCAATCGCTGTGGAGTTAAAGTGTTCTTCAAGTCTGTTCTCCATACGAATAGACTCCACGGGATGGCTATCTGGGGTAATGCTGTACATACGGTTTAAACTACCGAATGAACAGGCATTCGGTTAACTGACCGTAGCAGAAGCAAGGAGGCTGACGGCTCAGCGGTGTTCGCGCAACTAAGTGTCCGTTTACAGTTCCACAGTTTGGGCGCTGAACTCCGCTGACCGTTCGAGACTTCGGCAACCAAACAAAGGCCACCCAGCATTCGTCAATTAAGCTGCGGTTAACCGCAGCTTCTGGGAGGTTAATTGCCAACACACTCCAGGTCCCAGGTGGTTCAGTCATTCGTGCGTTAGTTCGGTAGATTGAATCTACCGACTGCTGGGCAGAAAGGCATGAATAAGCCTTTTCTGCAGGGGAAAAGAAGGCTTTTAACATGGGGCCATAATCCAAAGGCAACAGGCGAGCAACCAGGCTTCTCCAATGCAATGTGGCGAGATTGCTCTCGTCACAGGGACACTATAGTCACCTGAACAACTTCAGCTTAATGAGGTTGTTCAGGTGAGATCTATAGCTCCCTGCAGCCTTTCTCTTGTAAACACTGATAGATAGAAATAGATAGAAAGAAATACAGTCAGGTCCATAAATATTGGGACACTGACACAATTCTAATCTTTTTGGCTCTATACACCAACACAATGGGTTTGAAATGAAACAAATGTGCTTTAACTGCAGACTTTCAGCTTTAATTTGAGGGTATTTACATCTAAATCAGGTGAACGGTGTAGGAATTACAACAGTTTGTATATGTGCCTCCCACCTTTTAAGGGACCAAAAGTAATGGGACAGATTAACAGTCATAAATCAAACTCTCACTTTTTAATACATGGTTGCAAATCCTTTGCAGTCAATTACAGGCCTGAAGTCTGGAACGCATAGACATCACCAGACGCTGGGTTTCATCCCTGGTGATGCTCTGCCAGGCCTCTACTGCAATTGTCTTCAGTTCCTGCTTGTTCTTGGGGCATTTTCCCTTCAGTTTTGTCTTCATCAAGTGAAATGCATGTTCAATCGGATTCAGGTCAGGTGATTGACTTGGCCATAGCATAACATTCCACTCTTTGGTTGCTTTTGCAGTATGCTTCGGGTCATTGTCCATCTGCACTGTGAAGCGCCATCCAATGAGTTCTGAAGCATTTGGCTGAATATGAGCAGATAATATTGCCCGAAACACTTCAGAATTCATCCTGCTGCTTTTGTCAGCAGTCACATCATCAATAAATACAAGAGAACCAGTTCCATTGGCAGACATACATGCCCACGCCATGACACTACCACCACCATGCTTCACTGATGAGGTGGTATGCTTTGGATCATGAGCAGTTCCTTTCCTTCTCCATACTCTTCTCTTCTCATCACTCTGGTACAAGTTGATCTTGGTCTCATCTGTCCATAGGATGTTGTTCCAGAACTGTGAAGGCTTTTTTAGATGTTGTTTGGCAAACTGTAATCTGGCCTTCCTGTTTTTGAGGCTCACCAATGGTTTACATCTTGTGGTGAACCCTCTGTACTCACTCTGGTGAAGTCTTCTCTTGATTGTTGACTATTTCTATCTATTTTTAGAGCAGGAGATAAGAATTTGCAATAAAGTAAGTGAAAACATGCAGGGAGGTATGACTAAGGTGTGACTAGTGTCCCTTTAAGTGCAAGGATGTAGATTTTTGTAACATGTAGTTCCAGTCTCCCGGCTGAAAGTATTTTTTTTTTTTTTTTTGTCCTTTGGTGGGTAAGTCTAAGCCTGCATAAACAAAGTGATTTAACTCATAAATGCCAGAGAATTAATCAGTGAGACTGCAGGGGTATGATCTATACACCAAAAGTGCTTCATTAAGCTAAAGTTGTTTTGGTGACTATAGTGTCCCTTTAAGTGCAAGGATGTAGATTTTTGTAACATGTAGTTCCAGTCTCCCGGCTGAAAGTATTTTTATTTTTTTTTATTTATTTTTTGTCCTTTGGTGGATAAGTGGCAAGGCTGATGCAGTTGGAGTCCAGACACAGACAGAGAGCTTGTAGCTTTCACCTCTTATGAGTCCAGACCACATTACTGGTTCTGCTCCCTTGCTGTCCTGGCACTCACTAATGAGTCACAGTCCAGCTGCTGGTATTCCCAGGACAGGATTGCAAGTAATGATTACTGGGGTCTGCACCCACCCAGTTTCAGACCACACAATTCTTTAAAGGACCACAATTGAGTTTTACCCTCACCTGAATCACCATTACACATAGTCTGCACACACACACACTATATAGAGTATATACTAGAAACAGCCAGTGGGCTTGCACACACATCTCCCATGAGTAACTTATTTCGGGCCCAAATATTTTCTATTCTAATTTCCTTCTATTCTAGGAGCTCCATATTGTTGGTGTGTCTAGGTGTATAACTGCAATTATACAATAATGTGTCTTTAAATTAATGAATGTGCTTAGAAATTAGCCTGTGCAAATAAGATACATTATTATTATTATTTTTCTAAATACACTTTTGTTGCATATATTGGTTTTAGTAAGCCACATAACATTTCTCAGAACAGCTCCCCCTACCACACCCCTACTCGCACTCCCAAAATAAAATGTTGGGAGGTATGCACACACATGACACACAGCCAGAGTGCACAGACACATATGCTACACAGAGCTATCAGATACCATACCCTTTATACACTGCCAGCACACATCACACTATAGGTCAGAGGGTGAGACACTATGCCAGAGCTCTTGGCAGGGGCCAAAATATTTCTACTTGAAATTATTTTGTGGATCAGGACAAGTAGAGTGTTATGATGGATAAGTAGATTGGGTTACTGTTGTAAACCGTTGGATTACAACAATCATTCTAAGCACAGATAAATTATCCCATATAGGAAATTATGGGACATGAGTTGTCCCTAGAGACCAGAATGAGATGCTCCTGATTGGAGTGTGTTATCTTAGTGTAGGATAAATGTCACACCTCCATACTTAGGGAGGTATGTAAATCAAGATTGGGGATGGGCCTAAAGAGGTTGCAGTGGCTCAACCTGCACCACTTACACTGCCTAAATGAGTGAACATGTTTGAAAAGGGGACAGACATGCCCACATAAGGAACATATCATGCCAGACTAACTACCAGTCATATTGAGTAGCCCCATTAATTTCCAAGCATGCACAGAGTGCTGTTATTGTGTTCATGGTCCTAATGCCTTTAGAACAGCACAAACTCTGGGGACATTTCCCTCGTATCCACACAATGGGACACTAGGGAACAAACCTGGGATGTTAGGACTAGTGCACAAAATTGTCATATTCAGGATAATTGGGAGGCCTGGAATCTCTCATGTCTACTAAGCAGGGATTTTGCTGTGTATATGTAAGGCAAGTATTTTAATTTTTATATCCCATTTGTTTAATATTATTTTTAAATGTTGTGTTATCTATATATCAAAATAAAGCCCCTTATATTGCCTTTTGTCCATTATGTTAATTTCAAGCTTAAGTATATGCATAATAAGAAAGCAGAACGTAATATCTATCTCTCTCTTTCTCTCTCTCTCTCTCTCTCTCTCTCTCTCTCTCTCTCTGTCTCTCTCTCTCTATCTATATATATATATATATATATATATATATATATATATATATTCCAGTACTGCTCTTTTAGATGAATTGTACAAGTACCTTTGTATACAAGTTCACACTGCAGCAATGCCAATCTTGTTCATTTTAATATACTGTAATTTTATTTATTATGTTAATTTTTTCCCTACAGGTACAATTGTGCTTACATAATGCTGAAGTGTGGTTTTTACAGAATGGTTCAATTGGTTAACATATATGACAGCATTTAAAACAACAATGCTAACAAGTGTGATTCCGAGACTGCTGACATTGCAGAGACAATCTGCCACCAAATATATAGTTCCTTTGTCATATTCCTTTATTTTTGGGACATGGCAATATTCATCTACCTATTCAGATACAGATGTTGAGCAATTCGTCAAAGAGAATAAACGAACAGTTGACAGTCTCTATAAACTTTCCATTAATATTAAGAAAATTCGGCAGTTGAAGAGATGGGTGCTATTGAAAGACGTTGCTTTCGTAGAAGAAACTGCGGGTTTCCTGAAAGGTTTAGGAGCCAATGAGATTACTGTGGCTAACATTCTAGAACAATGCCCTGAAGCATTTCTCCAGGATCCTGTCGTGATAGATACACAACGACATTTATGGAGTTTGATCTGTTCATCTGATGAAGAACTGGTTAAAATAATTGAAAAGTTTCCGGAATCTTTCTTTGTTCATAAATGTCCAGACATTCAAAGAGCCAACATTACTTACTTGAAAGAATTGGGACTTAACAAGAAAATTATCTGCAGGCTTTTAGCGAGTTCTCCACAGATCTTTTGTAATTCGGTTGAAGGTAATAAAGAAATTATTAGTGCTTTGGAAGACATTTACCTTACTATCGGTGGCTCAAAAGCAAACTTTAAAACTTGGTTGATGAAGTTATTAAGCCAGGATCCATTTGTATTATTAAAACCTTCTTCAGCCTTAAAGACAAACCTTAATTTTATCCAGAGTTTAGGATTTGATGATAAAGAAGTTTTAAAACTTCTGTCCAAGCTTAAAGGATTTATATTTGATCTAAATTGTACTACCATGGAACAAAGCATTTTGTTTACTAGAACGGTTTTCAAATGTAGCAATGACGACCTGAGACAGATGATATTAAAATTTCCTGGTGTATTGTATTACTCTGTTCCAGTTTTGAAGGATCGTCTAACATGTCTGGTGAGGGGAGGCGCTTCTTTGGATCAGGTAATACAATCCCCAAATGTTCTAGAGCTTACAACACAAATTATAGAGTACAGAATTAAAAAAATAAAGTTATTGGGCCATGAAATAAAGAACCATCATTTAGATATTTTAAACGGTACTAAAAAAGATTTTGAAGTTAGCTATGGAAGATTACAAGTAAAGAAAAAACGGCCTTTGTTTAACCCTGTTGCACCTTTGCAAGTTGATGAGTAACTTTACAATGTACAAAAATTAGTTGGCGCCATAGGCGTGCACAGCGGGTGTGCCTGGGCACACCCTAATCCCTGCGGCACGCCTATGGATTTAGACCGGCAGGGAAGATCTCAGGATCTCCCCTGTCGGCTCATGCAGAGCCGGCGCTATCCGAGCGCCGGCTCTGCTTTTAGCCTCCATGGGCCGGTGGGGAGATCAAAGATCGCCCACAGCAGCATGGAGTGAGGCAGGAGAGGACCCGGGGAGCTCTAGCCAGCAGCTCCGCCGGGTTCCTCTCGCGAGATCTGAGCATTGCCGTGGCAACGGTCAGATCTCGCGAGAATGAACTCTAGCCCCGCAGGGTAGAGTTCACTCTTCACTGGACCAACAGGGAAGGAAGCAAGACAGCAAGGAAGGATCCCCCCTCCCTACATAAGATAACAAGTAATCTGCCCCCACCCCCACAATCATGCAAACATACAGCAAACACACAGCACCCACACACATACAACACACCCAGACAGAACCCACACAGCACCCAAACATACACAGTACCCAAACACACACAGTACCCTCACACACTGCACCCACACACACACTGCACCCACACACACACACACAGCACCTACACCCAAACAGCACCCACACACACAGCACCTACACCCAAACAGCACCCACACACACAGCACCTACATACATACAGCACACACACAAAGCACCCTCACACATACAGCACCCTCACAGTACACTAACAGCACCCTCACAAACACACACACAGCACCCTTACAAACAAACAGCACCCTCACAAACACACACACAGCACCCTTACAAACAGCATCCACACTAACAGCACCCTCACAAACACACGACACCCACAAACAGCACCCTCACACACAGCACACGAACAGGAACCTAACAAACACACACAAACACCCTCACACACACACAGCACACAAACAGCACCCTCACACACAGCACACTAACAGCACCCTCACAAACACGCACACTACCAGCACCCTCACACACACACCACCCTCACACAGCACACTAACAGCACACACACACAGTAGTGTATGTGTGTGTGTATATGTGTATATATATATATATATATATATATATACATACATACATTCATATACACGTGATGTGTGTTTGTGCTTCAGGGTGCACACCCTAATGCAATAGGCTGCGCATGCAAATGGTTGGAGCTGTGTCTTTGATATAGTGTGTAGATTGGGTTAAAAGCATTGTGTTATTTTACTCTGTTTTGTTTGGTTTTATTTGTTGTATTTAATAAACTTTTTATGACGTATATTTATGACCTTGGACCTTCCTATTTTATCCTGTGGTAGGTGGGGGAAATACCACCTACACACTACAGATTGAGCAAAGCAAATGTTTGCTCTTTACGTTTGAGTATATTTCCTATTATTTTATCACTTTTAAATTATACAATGAGCACTGTTTTATCCACATATCACCAAGTGAGGATTGCCTCTATATTATACCTTACTCTTCGTGCGTACTATTCACTCATGACTGGAAAAGGAGAGACTTTGGTTTGGGTTCTCCGAACTGCTTTCCTTATCACAAATCAAGCACTAGCAACCTATCGTTGCCTTTGAACATGATAAATTGCTAGGTTGTAAAAAATTATATAAAAAATGTGAACTTCAAAGTTGATTGCCAAGTGTAGATAATCATTGGATCAGAGTTATGGAAGCATTATACCACTAATCTAAGGCTGTGGGTAGCTTATGACAGGTTAACTTTAAATTACTATCAGGATAGTGCGTACTACAAATATGCATATCTTGGATAAAGGGAATGGTAATAAGAATGCAAGCACAGATCTGACATTTCATGAAAGGGATGAGCTTTGAACTTTTGTTTTTTTGCCGTCTATTGTATTTATCTAATTTAAATAGCACTTGTAAAGGTATATAGAGATGTGATTTTTATTTATTTTTTATTTTTTTAAAGGTGGGTAAGAAATATATATATATATATATATATATATATATATATACTGACTGGGCTTATATAAATTAAGAAAAGCAGAGTAAAAAAATCATTACAGATGGTATTTCCATGAGAAGCCATAGTTCCTCTCTGAACATGCAACAAGGTGAAATTCTGCTCACATCAAAGGGAAAACTGCAAAAATGGTGCTCCCTTAGGTAACAAAAGATGCAAATTTATTCCATCTTCACACTGAAAAGTATTAATTCAGTACTATCTCCTATGCTCGTCACTGTAAAGATAGAATACATGTGTACTTTTTGTTATCCATTGAAATAATTTTTTTTTTTACTTTGATGTCAGCAGTTCTTCAGCATGTTGCACCATAGAAAATGTATCTTTGTTGTTTTTATGAAGCAGGTTAGTGATGGAGCGATTCATAGGTTATGTTTTGGGTGCCATTTAAGCAAACATGTCAGTACATGGATTTTTTACTTAAGTTTGATATTGATCTATCCTGTTAAATTACAAATAGATCTTCGTTAGTGGATTCAACTTCCAGAACATCAGAGATACAATACATATGTTGAAAAGCACTGTAATGAAACAGCACTATTTTTAAAAACCAATTAAATAATTTTTTATCTATTTTTATCTAGTGGGTACAGTTTCTTAACAAATTACTTACTTACTAAAGGGTACTCACATACAAAAATCACATTGTGTCATTTTATACACACCCGTAATGTTATGATAGATTAGTAATAACGTAATACAGTCTGCATAGCAAGTCCTCTTCACCTCATGTATAGACCCTATTATAGCCTTGAACTTCCCATGCACTCTTTTATGCCTCAACCCACACTTGCTCATGCAGTTATACTTTTAGCTTCTTGCCCCTTTATTGTGGCCTCTCCCTCCTATATGTCCACATCTCATCATACCCCACCTTTCTTTTTTCCACATGCAGAAACAATCAGCATTAAATCCCATAACCTCCTGGCCACAGTAAGAATGTTCATTCTTGGCAGAGTAGAGTGAAAAGAACAAAGTGAGAATTCACGGTAATTTCAATGTGAATTTAAATTTTAAGGTGAAAATGGCCAAAACGACAAAATATAATTTTAAAAAATTGAAAAATAATTAAATTTCATCTATACATTGTGCTAGCAGAGTTTCTAGTAAATGTTTAGATTTCTCTAAAGTCAGAGGTTGAAAAAGGACCCTTTCCCCCTCCTCTCAGTCAGTTCAGTCTGTGCTAATATAAGAAGGCAGTGCTTTGCATGTTTGTTCCCAGGGAAGCCCTTTACTGGGTGTCTCATCTGCATTAATTCATCCTAAGAGAAAACAATTGATGCTCTTCAGAGTGAAGAATGCACAAGCTACTTACACCCTAAATGGCAGTGAATTATGGATAACACATGAAAAGGATTTGGGAATTGTTATAGACAGCAAACCTGGCACCAATGTCAATGAAATGCTGTGGCGGGACCTTAAAGGACCACTCTAGGCACCCAGACCACTTCAGCTTAATGAAGTGGTCTGGGTGCCAGGTCCTTCTAGGGTTAACCCATTGTTTTCATAAACATAGCATTTTCAGAGAAACTGCTATGTTTATGAATGGGTTAAACCTTCCCCCTATTCCTCTAGTGGCTGTCTCATTGACAGCCACTAGAGGCGCTTGCGTGCTTCTCACTGTGATTTTCACAGTGAGAGCACACCAGCGTCCATAGGAAAGCATTATGAATGCTTTCCTATGTGACCGGCTGAATGCGCGCGCAGCCAGCCGACGGGGAGGAGAAGAGGAGGATGGGAGGAGGAGAGCTCCCCGCCCAGAGCAGGAAAAAGGTAAGTTTTAAACAGTTTCCCCTTTCCAGAGCCGGGCGGGAGGGGGACCCTGAGGGTGGGGGCACCCTCAGGGCACTATAGTGCCAGGAAAACGAGTATGTTTTCCTGGCACTAGAGTAGTCCTTTAAGAGAGCAGTTTATAAACAAATACCAGCAAACCTCAGTGAACTGAAGCAGCGTTGTAAAGTAGAGTGGGCCAAAATTCCTTCACAACAATGTGAGAGACTGATAAAGTCATGCAGAAAACCATTACTTCAAATTATTGCTGCTAAAGGTGGTTCTACAAGGTATTGGATCATAAGGTGTACTTAGTTTTTCACACATGACATCCATTTTGGCTTTATTTGTGTTAAATATATAATGACACTGTAATATATTGTGTTGTTCATCTGAGGTTGTATTTACTTAAATTGAAGATCTGCTAAGGAACAGATGATATTATCTCCTGATATGTAAAACCATAGAATTCAAAAGGGTGTACTTTCTTTTCCCCATTACAGTATATATAAAGTAATATAGTTATAGTGGGGGAAAAGGTAATTGAAAACTCTTTCACTTGAAGTCAGTGGGTAGTAAATACATTGTTAAACACAGATTTGTACACACAGGTCAGGCCGTAATAGTGGCTTTTTGAAATCTCACATTAGCAGTTCTGTTACTGTTGCAAGAGATTATGGGTGGTCATATACAAATGAGTTCAACAAAAAGCCACTTTTATACCTCATTTATTCCACTTAATACATGGATTCATTGGAGTATTGGTCTGCTGTATGCAACAGCTTTTAAACTCAACTCAGGAAGAGGCACAAAGCCAGATAACCACTCATGGACAGCAGTTTCATTGTTAATGCAACTCTTCAGCATGAGGTTGGTTTCTGGCTTGCTACTGAGGCTTAGCGTTACTTGTGGAGCACAAACCATTACAGTTATGGTGGGGAAAAAATGATAAATACCTTCCCGAAAATCCCTTCCCTTCCCAAAATCCCTTCAACCTGAAGTCAGTGGATAGTAAATACATTGTTAAAACATAGATCTGCACACATCAGTCAAGCCATAATCCACAGAACTCTCACATTTGCAGTGACAATATCACCATCTTCTAAGCTGACCGCAAAGCTGTGAGAGCGCTTAGAAACATCTGCAATGACTTCAGCAGAGCTTCAGGAGGAAAGGTCAACTGCAGGAAGTCAGACTGCTTTTTGGGCAGTGGGAGATAACCAGAGATTCTCTCCCTTTTTCCATCAAAACTGAAATCTTAAAGATCCAAGGGGTCTGGTTTCGCTGCCCTAAAAAGTTGCGATGAGTGACTGGCAAAAGTGAACCAGAAGTTTAGATTGTGGAACCTCAAACACTTAACCATCGAAAAAAAAAAAAAACTGCTGCAGAATGTGATTCCTTCCTTTTTTGTAGTACACTGCCCAGGCATGGCCCCTAATGGTGACCGTTTGCTGAGCCATCACAAGAGTACTTTTTAACTTCATCTGGGGATCCAGGATGGACATAGTGAAGTGCACAGTGATATACAAGAAATCACACAAGGGAGGCAAGGGAGTTCTGGATATTCCCACCTTGCTTTGGGCTTTCTTTGTATGCAATGGAGTGCGCAGGACAGTAAGAGACAACGTCTCTGCTGGGAGCTTCAGGTCATGTTTTTTTTCCTCCAGCCTACCTGAAGAGGGCTAGGATGGAACAAGTGGGACAGCTCCATCCCTTACAAAAGGGACATACTGTGATTTTACCTGGATGTGAGAAAGTTTGTGAGGGAACACCATCTGCAAGGAGTTAAACTCGAAATGTAGGCCCCTAAGGTTATCTACAAACTCATCAGAGCTCTGGACATTCCGGAGCAGACATTGACCACAGTGTATTGTGGAAGAGGAAACTACTCTACACCTCTTCTGGCAGTGTCCATTTGTACAAGCTTTGCTAGAAGCCCTAAAAAGGGAACTCAGAACCTTCGATATCTGTTGCTGCACTGTGTGCAGGGTGTGTATAATGAATGTAGTGTGTTTGTAATGAATGCAGAGTATGAATAATGAATGTAGTGTGTTTGTAGTGAGTGCAGAGTGTGTATAATGAATGTAGTGTGTTTGTAGTGAGTGCAGAGTGTGTATAATGAATTTAGTGTGTTTGTAGTGAGTGCAGTGTGTATAATAAATGTACTGTGTTTGTAGTGAGTGCAGAGTGTGTATAATGAATGTAATGTGTTTGTAGTGAATGCAAAGTGTGTATAATGAATGTAGTGTGTTTGTAGTAAGTGCAGATTGTTTATAACAAATGTAGTGTGTTTGTAGTGAGTATAGAGTGTGTATAATGAATGTAGTGTGTTTGTAGTGAGTGCAGTGTGTCAAATAAATAGTGTGTGTGTGGGGGGGGGAGATGAGGGGGGTAAGCCTGACTGATCCAGGGGTCAAGTTTGTTTGTTTGTGTGTGTGTGTGTGTGTGTGTGTGTGGGCTCGGCAGACTGATCCAGGGTTCAAGTCCTGGGGGAAAAAGTAAGGGAACTCTCCCAAGATTCCTGCCCGTCCCCCCCTTAAAAAATAAATTTAAAAAAATGTACACTCCTATGCATATAATGCAGTGCAGGGTGTGTATAATTAATGTAGTGTGTTTGTAGTGAATGCAGAGTATGAATAATGAATGTAGTGTGTTTGTAGTGAATGCAGAGTATGAATAATGAATGTAGTGTGTTTGTAGTGAGTGCAGAGTGTGTATAATGAACATAGTGTGTTTGTAGTGAGTGCAGTGTGTATAATACATGTACTGTGTTTGTAGTGGGTGCAGAGTGTATAATAAATGGTTTGTGTGTGTGTGTGTATATGGACTCAGCAGTTTGTGTGTGTGTGGGCTCGGCAGACTGATCCAGGGTTCAAGTCCTGGGGGAAAAAGTAAGGGAACTCTCCCAAGATTCCTGCCCGTTCCCCCCTTAAAAAATAAATTTAAAAAAATGTACACTCCTATGCATATAATGCAGTGCAGGGTGTGTATAATTAATGTAGTGTGTTTGTAGTGAATGCAGAGTATGAATAATGAATGTAGTGTGTTTGTAGTAAGTGCAGATTGTTTATAATGAATGTAGTGTGTTTTTAGTGAGTGCAGAGTGTGTATAATGAATGTAGTGTGTTTGTAGTGAGTGCAGTGTGTATAATAAATGGTTTGTGTGTGTGTGTGTATATGGACTCAGCAGTTTGTGTGTGTGTGGACTTAGCAGTCTATGTATGTGTATGGACTCAGCAGTCTGTGTGTGTGTCTGTGTGTGTGTATGGACTCAGCAGTCTGTGTGTCTGTGTGTGTGTATGGATTCAGCAGTCTGTGTGTCTGTGTGTTTGTATATATATGAACTCAGCAGTCTGTCTGTGTGTATGGACCTCGCAGCCTGTGTGTGTGTATGGACTGTCTGTGTGGTGTATGGACTCAGCAGTCTGTGTATGGACTCAGCAGTCTGTGTGTGTGTGTGTGTGTGTGTGTGTGTGGACTCAGCAGTCTGTGTGTGTGTGTGTGTGTGTGTGTATATGGACTCGGCAATCTGTGTGTGTGTGTTTGTATGGACTCAGCAGTCTGTGTGTGTGTGTGTGTATATATGGACTCGGCAATCTGTGTGTGTGTGTGTGTGTGTATGGACTCAGCAGTCTGTGTGTCTGTGTGTGTGTGTGTGGACACAGCAGTCTGTGTGTCTGTGTGTGTGTGTGTATGGACACAGCAGTCCGTGTGTCTGTGTATAAACTCAGCAGTCTGTGTGTGTGTATGGACTCAGCAGTTTGTGTGTGTATGGACTCAGCAGTTTGTGTGTGTATGGACTCAGCAGTCTCTGTGTGTGTGTATGGACTCATGGACTCAGCAGTCTGTATGTGTGTATGGACTCAACAGTCTGTGTGTTTGTGTGTGTGTGTGTATGGATTCAGCAGCCTGCGTGTGTGTGTGTGTATGGACTCAGCAGTCTGTGTGTCTTTGTGTGTGTATGGACTCAGCAGTCTGTGTATGGACTCAGCAGTGTGTGTACGTGTATAAATCAGCCTGTGTGCACGTGCATTCAGCAACACCTGTGTGCATTCAGGAGTCTGTGTGCATTCAGAAATCTGTGTGTGTATTCAGTAGTCTCTCTGTGTTCGTATTCATTGTACTGTGTGTATGTACTCAGCAGTCTAACAATAATTAACATTTGTATTTCCCTGAGTTGTTGTGTAGGAAGGACCCCCGTGCACTGCTTTGCCTGGGAGCCCATAACGCTGTTAAGATGGTACTGCTTGTGTGTGTCAGTGAGCTTCTATTTAGTGAGCATGTGTGTGTCAGTGAACTTGTCTTTAGTGAGCTTGTGTGTGTCCCTGAACTTCTTTGTAGTGAGCCTTGTGTTTGTACAAGTGAGTTTGTCTGTAATAAGCTTGTGTGTGAGTCAAAGAGTTTTGACTGTCAGTGAGCCTGTTTGCACATGTCAGTGATCTTGTGTGCTTACTGTACAATATATATACATATATATATATTGACTTGTAGGAATGGCATAAATTTTTTTCCAGGGCTGCTTTGGATTCTCAGTTTGGCTCTGCCAGCGAGTGCGCTTTACCGCTGACTCTTCTGCGTGAGCTGCCGCACACTTTAGCCCTGTAACACGCGTCTGGGAGCTGCTGTTGACAGGTACTAGTAGTCTAGAGATTGGGACATGCGGTATATGCTCAGCTATCTGTATAATACTATAGTGCTGTTCTCTGTATAATACAGGTCTGTGTGTGTATAATATCCCAGGAAAGTCAGTGCTCCCTGTATAGTGCTGCTCTCTGTAAATACAGGTCTGTGTGTATAATATCCTGGGACAGTCTGTGTTCTCTGTATAGTGCTGCTCTCTGTCTTGGGATATTATACACAAACAGACCTGTATTATACAGAGATCAGCACTATACAGGGAGCACCGACTGTCCCAGGATATTATACAAAAAACAGACCTGTATTATACAGAGTGCAGCACTATACAGGGAGCACTGACTGTCCCGGGTATTATACACAAACAGACCTATATTATACAGAGAGCAGTACTATACAGGGAGCACTGACTGTCCCAATTTATTATACACACTGCCCTGTATTATACAGCGAGCAATGACTGTTCCAGGATATTAAACACAGACCTGTATTATAAAGAGAGCAGCACTATATAGGGAGCACTGACTGTCATGGGATATTATACACAAACAGACCTGTAGACCTGTAGTCCTTGGAAATTTTTTTCAAATGTTGGCAACTATGGTACTGTATCAAGGGAAATGTGTTTATTTTTTAATAATCCCTGGTGGAAAATAATGAATCCTCCACCAGGGATTATTTATAAAAAAGAAACCAAACAATTGTGTCGGAGCGAGGCTTAATATGCGACGGGGCAGGGTCAAACTGCGGCAGCGGCGGGTTTAAATGTGCCCCCTACTTTTGTCCCTGGCCCACCATGTGCCCCCCCTAAAAATTAATCCTAGCGACGCCACTGATAATAAATGTAGTGTGTTTGTAGTGAGTGCAGAGTCTGTATAATGAATGTAGTGTGTTTGTAGTGAGTGCAGAGTGTGCATAATGAATGCAGAGTGTGTATAGTGAATGTAGTGTGTGTAGTGAGTGCAGAGTGTATAATGAATGTAGTGTGTTTGTAGTAAGTGCAGATTGTGTATAATGAAGTCTGTGTGTGTGCTGGGTGATGTGTGTGTGCTGGGTTTGTGTGTTGGATGAAGTGTGTGTTAAAGGAGTTTGCCATGAGTTTTTGGAAGGGGCTGCTTGCTCGCCTCCAGCCCTGTGACTACAGCCCCTGCAATGTATTGCCTTTTAAGAACATATTTGGGCTTAATGGATTTTTATTATGCGGCTACTGACCCTTTAAACACAGTGTATGGACTTCTATTAGACTGTGTATAGATTGTGTATAGGAAGGTGTACCACTCACAGTTTCCTGTCCCATTGTTCTCCAGCAGGGCGTTGTCCCAGGCACACTGCCAGACTAGTTGGAACTGGTTTGGGCTGGAAAGTTTGGGCTGTAAAGCCATGCTTCAGTGGTCCTAAAGGGACCTCCACCTAACTTTTTAACCCCTGAACCGATTGACCTAATTTTTGAGTGTGTTTATATTTCAAGTATGCTGATTCTGAAAATGTATGTTTTTTAGGAAGATCGGATGTATATTTTTAAAGTTATAGCATGTGTGTAAAAACTGTATATTTTTGCCTGTGATAAGTTAGTCTATTGTGTTGAGATAATTGTATCACAGGCAGAGGGGAGGAGATGTGTGGGAGGTAACCTGGATCTGATTGGTGACTGTACTAAGTATTGTGGGTGTCTCAGCAGGGGTTGTGGAATAAAAGTGCAGTTCTGCTCCTGGTACTATGTGTCGTCCAGTTATTGGGAAAGGTGATGGGATACTATTGCATTTTACTGCTGATTGTGCTTGTTATGCTGCTTGATTATTCTCTCACTGTGGGTACTGTGCCTGGGATTATTGCTTGTTCCTGAGCCACACCTGAACTACCAGCGGAAATTGTCTGTGAGAGACCAGCGTTCTGCTACATTGCTGGCAAGCAGCAGGATGGTGTCCTGGTGTGAGAGGAACAGCACCCTGGAGACACCAGAATTATTATGGAGGGGCATACAGCCAGCGAGTCCCTGGACAACGCTCGAAGTGGAGGATAAGTTTAAACGGAAGTTACAGAACCTCTTGGCCCCACTGGATAAGCCAATAGTAGAGGCAACCAGGTTGGACTGAAGGAAGGGCGCCTGACAAGAGATGTGGGAAGAAACCCTAGAGGGTGTCCAGCGTTGGCGAGGTGAGCGTCTCCCCAGCAAGGAGCAGCGACTACAAGCCCAAATGGCCCTACAGATGCCTATGCTGGGAGAACAGCCCCGGGAGGAATTGGTGATGCAGCTTAATTCGCTGGCATGGAGGGAACTGGGTATCGACGATGCATACCAAGCGCTATGTTGGTACGCAGTTCAGCGTGTTCTCGGAATGGCCAAGTTCGACAGACCGGAGGGCAAGGATTACAATGGCCCTGGTTTATTATGGGGGCCTTTGCAGAACCGGAATCCGGGAGTGCGGCAGAGTCACGGCTTTGGGACATATTTGACTACAGAGAGGCCATGCTGGATCTCCCTATGGTTGAAGACTTAAGGCCAGACCTGATTGAATTGGCTGTCCAGGAATGGGAACTGGAGCTGGATTACCAGCACCTGATCAGCTCCAGTCAGTCACCCCATACCCTGCAGGTACCGTCAGAGCAGTAGGAGATCAAACAGGATTATGCTTGCCTATATGATCAAGTGACACCGCTTGTCTCTGACATGATGGGGCTTGTAACGGCACCCCGGGCATAAAAGGGTTAAACCGCCGTTTAGTAGATCTTCCCTTCCAGAGACACAGGCACAGCTACTGCAGAACACCAATCCGCCGTACCGGAAACCATATGAATGCCATAAACAGCCGTGTAACGGCTACCCTTGTGTGGTGAGGGTACCAGCCGTTGGGGACGTCCTTTTCTTCCCGACAAGACGCTGTGTAGTGATGGAGTCGCCTATTCCCTTCTGCTGGATCAGGAGTGGAAGCAAAGTATAGCTCTGAAAAGAGCTAAGTGATTAAGCTGCATAGATTCCCCTTTCAAGAACGAGACGAGGCTACGTTTTGAAGGGTCAAGAAGAACTGAGGATTTATTGACAGACACTCTCTTTTATGCGATTCTGCCCATGCAAGGGAGACACCCACATAATTAGCAGTACAACCAATCCATACAATATACATTCTGTACATCCCCTCCCCTCAGATAACTAAATAACATAATTAAAAAGGAACATATTTTCCCCAAAGTTCTGATGTACCCCAAATACTACTAGTATTAGAAGATAGCTTATATTTATGGTACTAACATATTTCAAAATCAGCCCAATCGGTTCAGCCGTTTGGGAGATATGGGACTTAGACGTTTTGACCGACCGCACGGGCACAGTAGCCGAAAACAGTTCCATGAATGCTGGCCCTGCAGTCGGTCTAAGATCATGGTTAAAAACTCCCGAACGGCCGGCCATCCGTATGCCATCCTGGGTTCGCTGAAATCCCCATCTGTTGCTGATTCTTTCTACCGAACGCCTGGTCGTTCGGTAGTTTTGGCAAGGTTTTCCCGAAGGTATGGAGGTCTCAGCGGTGTTCGCCTGTTTGAGTGTCCGATTTTAGTTCCAGACACTCGACGGCAAACACCGCTGTTCGGGAGTTAAGATGGCCGTGAACACGTGGAAGTCCTGAAATGGCGGCTGAGCTTACAGCTCCCATAGCATTCGTGCGGTCTTTCGAATAAAAGTGCCCATCAAGCAGGGAGGTAAATTAGTCATAATTAGCAGTCAGGGTGGCCTCTTAGAGGTAGGTAAGCATTTGCATGGAGAATGCTTGCAAAATCCCGAACGGCCTTATAAACGGTCTTTTCCAGGCAAACTGTGCTTTTTGTTACAAGCCGAATAGGAAAAACCATACGAATAGGTTTACACTCCTAGCAGTCAAACTGGAACAGCATACAATAAATCCCCCCAAGAACGAGACAAGGCTCCGTGTTGAGGGTCAAGCAGTGAACAGACAAAGCTGTGGGTTTATTGTGCTTATGTACACATTCTTACACATTAGTACCACCCACAGGGTTTTGGAACACAACCAATAAACACATACAATACACTCAGACACTCCCACACAAAATCCTCCCCTCTGCCTGTGATACAATTACCTTACACAATGGTTAATGTAATTATAACAAGCAGAGAAATACAGTTTTTCCACATTATTCATAACTTGAAAAGTGTGCATCACATTTTCAGAATCAGCATACTCCAAATACAAACATATGTCAAATTCATACAAATTGGTCCAATGGTTCAAAAGATAGATCGCAGTCCTTTGTGACCAAAGGAAGAATGGCTTTTCTGCCCAAAACCAGTTCAACAGAGTCTTCTATCCTGGAGATAATTGTGAAGTAATCCAATTATCTCCAAAGACAGAAGCAAAACTCCATTGAACACATGGCAGGAAAAGACAATAAACACATAAAAACATATAACTGTGCAGCCATTGCACAAAACAGGTACATTCAACATATCCCCAGATAGCTCAGATCTGAGCGCACATTATTACTGAATGGCGCTCAGAGCACAAACATACAGTTCAATTAATATGGAGCCAAAGTCTTTCCCATAGTCTTTCATTATACGAATGGGCTCCATGGCATAGCTATCTGGGGTATCACCGCTCAAACAGGGCAAGCACCAAATGACCCGGCTTTCATGTCTTTGCAGGGAAAAATCAAGCCTTTTAACATGGGGCCATAATCCAAAGGCAACAGGCGAGCAACCAGGCTTCTCCAATGCAATGTGGCGAGAATGGTCTCGTCACATCTCTCCCCTTTTCCAAACAGACTAACAGGATATCTGACCTCCTGCCGGTCAGTGCCCTTGTTAGTCCAGCAGCCCACCCACAACACACAAATAGTAATACAGCCCACCCACAATAAATGGTTACTACACCTGGGTAGAGGAGAACTTTGCCCATGTCCAGGTGCCTCACCACAGCTGTGTGGGTGACTGGTAAGCTGACTTGGTGGGTTGCTGAGTATGCAGAGACCAGCGGTTCTCTACCCTGGTGCCAGCGCTACCACAGGAGTAGCCTGGTTGAAGCCTGGTTGTTGGAGGGGGAGACCGACTGTCTCCCCTTTGGTTACACCGCTCGGTTGCTGGAGGGGGAGACCGACTGTCTCCCCTTTGGCTAAACAGCCCTGTCGCTGGGGGGCAGAACCGACCGTCCCTACCCCCTGTGCTGTAAGTGCAGAGACCACGGTCCCATCTGCACGGTTATGGGGTCTACTGTCCCCCCTGGTACGTTAAGTTGCCGCTGGGGAGAGGGGGTAACATATATACTTCCAGCCGCGGGGGAGGGAGACCGACTGTCTCTGCTCCCAATACAGAGTCCTGCTGCTGGGGAAAGGAGACTGGGCTCTCTATTCCCTGTAGGACACTCTGCCACTGGGGAATGGAGACTGAGCTCCCAATTCCCTGCTGTATCTCCCGCTGGGGAATGGAGACTGGGCTCCCAATTCCCTGTAATTCACACTGCCGCTGGGGATCTGAGCCGACTGCCCAGCATCCCTGTAGCTCACCCTGCCAATGGGGAGGGAGGACGCTGCTCTCCTCTCCCTGCAAGGTACACTGCCGCTGGGGGACAGGACCAACTATCTCTGTCCCCTGTAACTCAGCCTGCCGCTGGGGAATGGAGCTTGGGCTCCCAATTCCCTGCAATTCATTCTGCTGCTGGGGGACAGAAGCAACTATCTCTGTCCCCTGTAACTCAGCCTACCGCTGGGGAATGGAGCTTGGGCTCCAATAGCTGTGGAGAGGGACTGACTTTCCCCACTCCTAACATATCCATCTGTGGTTGGCGATCTAGGCCGGCTGCACAGCATCCTTGTAGGGCCGGTGGAGAGACCTCGGTCCCCGCTGCAGCTGCCAGCTTGGGTTCTTCCCAGGACCAGTTGATAAGGTCTCTCATCTCTGGGGCTTATCAACTGGTCCTGGGAAGAACCCAAGAAGAGTCTGTGGAACTGGTTTTGGGCAGAAAAGCCATGCTTCCTTTGGTCACAAAGGACTACGATCTATCTTTTGAACCATTGGACCAATTTGTATGAATTTGACATATGTTTGTACTTGGAGTATGCTGGGACACATGGGGACACTAGGCACACTGAGAGACATGGGACACTGGGAGACTTGGGGACACTGAGACACTAGGGACACTGGCTAGGGGACATAGTGTCTCTGTGTCCCAATGTCTCAGTTTCTCTCAATGTCCCTATGTCTCACAGCATCCCCATGTGTCTCAGCATCCCCATGTGTCCCAGTGTCCCCATGTTTTCCAGTGTCCCCAAGTGTCTCAGTGTCCACAGGTGTCCTAGTGTCTCAGTGTCCCCTAGTGTCTGTGTCCCCATTAGTGATGTCGCGAACCCGAAATTTTCGGTTCGCGAACGGCGAACGCGAACTTCCGCAAATGTTCGCGAACCGGCGAACCGCCCGAAACGCCATTGACTTCAATGGGGAGGCTAATTTTAAAACACACAGGGACTCTTTCTGGCCACAATAGGGATGGAAAAGTTGTTTCAAGGGGACTAACACCTGGACTGTGGCATGCCGGAGGGGGATCCATGGCAAAACTCCATGGAAAATTACACAGTTGATACAGAGTCTGGTTTTAATCCATAAAGGGCAGAAATCACCTAACATTCCTAAATCACAATCAATATGGATTGACACCTGACATATGACATATTGACACCTTGACATATGGATTGACACCTGTCCTCAGAGCCCCTGATACACACTGACACAGAGCAGAATAGGGACTGTTCCCCCTACATAGGGTCACTTGGCAGATATGGATTGACACCTTGTTACAAACTGCTATTTGTAACGGGCCCTTTAAATGGCAAATTGCCCTGTTTCCCTGGGTTGTGGAGAAGCCTCTTGCCAGCCTCCTCCCGCATGACTATGGCCCCTGGGAGATTGTGAAAATGTATGCACTTTTATTTGGTGTGTATGGCCCTTTAAGACTGTCGGTGGGCATATTGGGGCTTATGGACTCTTTATGTGACTGGTGCTGGCCCTTTAAACACCTTTTTTGGGACATCAGGAAGATTGGGACACTGCCCCTTTAAGGCTGTGTCCCCAGACTTGTTGGGGACACGGCCCCTTTAAGACGGTGTCCCCTGTGTCCCCAGACCTGGTGCAAACCCTTTGTGCCTGCCTTGCTATTTCCCACTTGGTTCAGTAAATGGGAAATTATTTCAGCTGCAGAGACTAAGTCCCATTCGGCGATGGGACTTAGTCTTTTTTCAGCCGTTTTTTTCAGCCTTATTTCAGCTGCAGAGACTAAGTCCCATTCGGCGATGGGACTTAGTCTTTTTTTCAGCCGTTTTTTTCAGCCTTATTTCAGCTGCAGAGACTAAGTCCCATTCGCCATGGGACTTAGTCGTTTTTTCAGCC